TTCCTAAGAAAAAATAATTTTTTTTTTTTTGAAATTTTGCAACACCAGGAGACACCTCAGGATTGGGGGTTGCGACAGTCAAAGGGTTAAGCTTTAATTGAAGTGTATACTGAAAATTTGTAATAAGTGAATGTAATGGTTCAGTGGTGTGATCAGGATCAAACTGGAGTCTTGTAACACCAGGCCATTGCCTTAGCCCACTGTGTTGCAGAGGTTGCAGTGAACTGAGATGCAAGGCTGGCATTCCCAGGCCACATTTTCAGTTCCTTATCACTTAATGGGATATGAAGTGTTTGGAAGAATTGAGACATTGATCCTTAAGTTTCTAAAGATTTAAATAAAACTTTCATAAAGCAATTAGATTAACTTCAGTAGTTCTTGAGGTATATATTGCTAATAAGGCTGTTTTTTTGCTGTTGCTGGTGTCAACAGCGTGACGTATATCTTATAGATGTTTGTTGTGTTGTTTCCAGAGTTTGAAACAAAAGGGAGCAGGGGGAAGCCCTTGAAATTTTTGCTTTAAAGTTTTCGTTTTATATGATTTTTTGGATTGTTCTCCCTTTTATTTGCTCAAAAACTGCCTCCAATTCCCCGGGGGTTGATGACCCTGTGTCTTAGTGTTCCTGTGGATTGATGCAATTCACGAATGATATTGTTCTTGCCTTTTCTTTTTACGGTTTTGCTGTCCATACGCTTTAGGTGTTTTTTAAATTAATAAGGGTGATCAGTGTTCAGTGGTCATCGCAGTGTTCAGTGGTCAGTCGTCACGGGGTCACAGCCCTGAGCTGTTTTGGGGGATTAGCGGGGACGGTTACAAAGCAGGCTTTTTTTGCAGTGTTTTAAAAAAAAAGGGAGTTTTTGGGAGGAAGGAGGATTTCTTGCTTTAAGGGGGTTAGGGTGGGGGTCCCTAAAAATGGGCCGGGGGAAGGTGTAGGTGGTTGGGGTGGGGTGGGTTTTTAGGTGAGGTCGTTGCCCCCAAATGTGAGGAGGTTTTAGGTGGGGAGGTTTTGCAACGGGTACCAGCAGTGAGGTGCACCCCCCCCTGCTAAATCATTGTTACAAATGGGAGGGCTAGAGTAAGGAAAGTTAAGATGAAGATTGAAGGTAGGGAAATGCTTTTTGTTCTCCGGGAGAATGTATTCGGGGCCAGTGAAGGTAAGGTACTACTCCCCCTGCTAATGAAGGTAAGCGCATTTTGTGGTTGGGACTCTCAGGGAAGATTTTTGACCGTGCTTTTTGTAATAGGAATAAGGGGTGAGGATAGAGTGTGCTTCCCGGGACTGGTGTTGGGGACATTGTCAACGATGGAAAATATATGTCAGGTAATGGGAAAAAGCCCTTTTATCTGTCTCGTGCTGGTGGAAATAAATTTTGGGAAGGGTAGGAGAGAAGAGTGCTAGAAAGTACAGGTCAGCTATAGTTTCATTAAGCAAGGGGGGATCCCCAATCATATGTGCATCTTGCCTAAAAGGGGGGAGTAGGAAATGAATGGTTTTTAGGGCAATTGGTGTAAATTGCGGGCCTAGACAGTTACTCAAGGGAAAATTGCAATCCCATTCATGACAAATGGAACAACTTTTATGGCAAACATGATATGTAGAAAGGGGATGGGGTTCATCTCTCTGGGGCGGGGGTGGTGCATTTGGGAAAACCCCTTGGAAGGCCATTGGTAAAATCCCTATGATTTTAAATGATGGAAGATAGGGGTATGGGGTGTGTGGGAAAAACAAGCAGGTTGCAACACTGGGTTGGAAACAGTAAATGTAAAAAGGCTCCAGAAGTTTAAATAAAGACAATAGAACGGGTCAGAAAAAAAGGGGGACAGCAGGGCGAAAGGGACTGCCCCCTTAAGGTTTACTATACAAAAGGCGGGTTTAGAAATAAGAAGATAAACAAAGATTATTTCAAGTGCAGGAAACATGATTTTTGCTATAAAGAGCCCTGGCTCAATCTGAAAGATAAGAGGCCATTGAATGCACATACGGGCTAAAAATTTATTCCACACTGACAGGGTCAAAGGGAAAGTGGTGGGTAGCGAGTATGTCAGAGAAAATTTTTTAAATTGTTGTTTTTAGACAAGATTTTAAATTGAAGCGTCAGCCACTGAATCTGTTTGGTTACAGCTTCTGAGGGCCAGAAAAAAAATTTTTGGGTGTAAATTTAAGGGGCCCCAAATCTTGATGGGGTGAGTAAACTTCTAGGGGGAGAATTCGTAAGGCATCTACATACGAAATGTTGGTAATGGGAATTTTAACTAAAGACAGATTGATTGGAGAATTTTGACGGGGAAATTTTAGATTGGGTGACTTTTTTGAAAAACGACCCGGATTGTTTTTTAAAACAGTTTGTGACAGACCAACTAGGGGAAATAAACCCCCTTTTGACTTGGTTTTGCCAGTGGGGGAAAACACAAATTTAAATAATTTGAGGTTAATGATGAGTTTGGGGAGATGTCAAAATCACTCAGTTTTAAAAACATATCTGGAAATTTCCCCCTAAAAAGGGCAATCAAGTCTCCGTCCCTGATTTCGTTTGGGGCTATTCATAGGACTAAAAAAATTACTTGGGTTGGGTAAAAAGGAATGCCCTGATGGGGGTCAGGGTAGGTGGTGATGGTTGCGATATGAGCTTTCCGGGGAAAATTTTTAAGCTGCTCATAAAATATGTTCCAAATGGGAAAAATCGATCAAACAAAAAATGACCAAAATGATGAACAATAGTTTTAAAATATCTGATTGGTCAAAAAGAGGCATTATAGGCAAATCAAAAAGGAGAGGGGCTTTTGAAATCGATATATTCATTTAAAGAGAGAAATAAAAAGGGAATTAAAAAAGCAAAAAGAGATTATGAGGTTAAATTTGCAAAGAATCGAGACTCCCAAAAAAGGGATTCTTTCAGGTATACGAAGAAGATCGGGACAAGATGGCCCATCAAAAGTTCCTCGGGTCGTCACTGACAGTGATAAGGAAATGTGTAAAATTTTTAACCAACTTCCTCTCATTTTTTACACAGGGGGGATCCCAGTGATTTTCCCAGTAATGATAAATTATTTTAGAACAGGACGATAATAAACTTGCATATTAGGGGCCAAATGACATGGTCCCCTTTGGCAAATAGATAATTAAAAACCAACAAATCCCCAGGCCCGATGAACTGATGCAAAAGGGGTTTAAAGGAATGTAAAGAGGAGCTTAGACACCTTTGGTATCTTTCAACATATATAAAACTGGCATGGTGCCAATAAGTGAAAATGGCAAATGGAACCTATTTTCAAAACAGGTGAAGGTCCTTAGTTTGAAAACTAAGACCAAAAAGCCTAACCTCCCAAATGGGAAAATTTATGGAATCAAAAATTGCCCAGGGATTCGTAGCCACCTTGAAAAACATAAATTAAACAACGAATTCAAACATGGTTTTTCAAAAGGGGGTTTCCTGCCTTTCGAATTTTTTAAATTTTTTTTTACTAAGGTATTTGAGGAGGTAGTCATGGTAAGAATTGATATTTGTAATGGACTTAGTAAGGCTTTTTACAGGGTCCCACATCAGAGACATTGAGGAAATTAAAGCCTGAATAGGAGGAAAATTTTTTTCCTGATAGAGGCATGGTTGACAAAAAGGCAGCGGAGTTTGCATAAAGGGGAAAAACAGGTGGGGAAATCCGGCGGTTTCAAGGGGCGTGTTGGGCCCCCCCCGTTTACAATCTACATAAAACAAGATGAGGGCATAAAAAGCACACGGCAAGTTTTTCCGATGCACCAAAATAGGCCTCGAATTCTTTTTGACGAGGACATTTGAGCACTCCGGGGAAAATTTGAATGACGATGCAGTGGTCGGAGAAGTGGGGAGCATTTAATTAGACAAAAAGCAAAGTTTTAAATGTTGGCAGGACAAAACCATGCCACATATAAACTAAATAATGTAGATTTAATTTACGGATTGCGAAAAAGATTTAGGAGTTCTGGTTTTTGCAGTAATCTGAAACCAAGACAACAGTGCATAATGTTCGCAATAAAACTAAAAAAAAATCCTTGGCTTCTATCAAAAAGCATAAATAATAGGAGTCCTAGTTGTTTTCAACTCTATAATCCTTGGGTTTGGGCCTCATTTAGATTATGCTGCACAGTTTTTTGGGACCGTATTACAGAATGGGTATAAATTTTTTTGGAAAATGTACAAAGGAGGGTGCAAAGATGATCCCCTTATCAGAAACCTTCCCTATGAGGATAGACTAAGGGCCTGAAACGCACTCTCTAGAAAGGTATAAAATTAGGGGGGATATGATTTGGGGTTTTTAAGTGGAAACGGAATAAAAAAGGGGTGTAAATATGGCTGATAATATCTAGCCTAACAGGACTGCAGCAAGGTTTTAAGTTTGGAAAAAATTTAGATTCAGGAGGGATTAGGAAAATAAGGGTTTTTGGGAATAGAGTTGTGGGTGGGGAACAAACTCCCAAGTACCGTTATAGAGGGCCCGAACGTTGTGTCTTTAAAAATTTGGTTGGATAAAAACTGAGTAGTGTGGGTGGGTGTGAGTTAGACCTGATGCTTGTGCTAAGGGTGGGGTTTCCGTGTTCTCCCTTGATCAATGTGACCTGACCCGACTATTGGGTGCATTGGCTTAAGCGGTAGGGGCTTGGACCGCCTCGCATGGCCTTTGGCCCTTCTGCAGTGTTCCCTTTGTTTTTATGTTTTATGTTTTTAATATGGTGGGTTTAAACTGTAATTTTTTTCTTAATCTGTGATATATTATTCACCTTATGCAGTTTATATTCACAAGACCATTATTTCACAGGTTTTTTTTTATTTTCCCATTGAGTTTCTGAATAAGAATAGTATATGAATCTATCACAGCATTTTGAGAATGAGATGAAGGAAGCTTAACATTTAATTTGGGTTAGTAAATGTTTGGCTAATATTGTGTTCCTCCCTCCAGTGACATAGATGGAATGGTAATAAAAAAAAGTTTGAGGAAATAGTCACTTGAATGTAAGTTATTATCATGCAGTAATAGTGGCAGATTTTGAGAATGTGACATTTTTGTGACATGCTCTTATTACAGTAATTTGCAACATATTGATTAATTTGGAGATTATAATTGAAAGTGGACTCTGTATTATTGGCATGTACTTTGGTATATGTTGCTATGCAAACATCTCTGAAAATAAGCCAAAGACAATATCAGGTTGCAACCAGTGAATACCCTTTCAACTGAAGATGTGTGTCGTTTGTACCTGAGGAGTCTAGAAGCAGAAGTGATTCGAGGATGTCTTCCTTTCTGAGGTGCTGCTTTCGACATGAGCGCCTCTCAGAAGTGGTGGAGGCTGTGGCAGTCAAGTGCCCAGATGCGGCATGTGAGTCTTTGGACAAGTCTCCCTCCTAATCGTCGTCAGTGACTCGCCCTGTGACCCTTGTTAGAAAACCCTCATGTCCTCCTGATCAGTTCCCTTTGCCAACTATCTGCCATTAACTAGCTTTAGTTTCCAGTAGAGGTCCCTGTTTCCCAATAGCTTATTTTTACAGGTAATTTCTTCACAGTGATTAATTACATAGTGTCTAGTAGAGGCTCTCACTCCAGTTTGTGTATATATATGGAGTGCTGTCCTTTGTTAAGTTGAAGCACTTGTTATACCTAGTGCTTCATTTTTTTTCAACTTGCTCTTCCTATTTTCTTAGTATCCTCTGAAGTAAGATCTGTTGATGCATTGTCTTGCTAGTTCCCAGTTACTGTAAGTACTGTATGTTCCACCCTTCCTCTTTCCACAAGGCTAGCCAGCAGTTAGTGCTCGCTCTTACCACGTAAATCTCTTGAATGATTACATTAAATAATAGTATGTGTAATAACTGAATGCTCAGACATTTGGTGCAGCTACACCACCCCAGTTAAAAATTGCATACTATATTTTTCTGTGTAATTTATTTACATTTTACATGCTACCCATCTTGGATAGCATTGCATATTAGTGCTCTGTGGAAGATAGTAGCATGCATAGTTCTTTGGTGTTTCAGACACACTGTAGTACAGATACCTTAGAAGCAATGCATTCATGGAGTAGATGAGTGTGTTGGTTATAGGGTAATGATGAGATGCGTGCAGTCATGGTGTAGAGGGTGTGAATAAGCTGGAGGATATATGTGTACAGTATCCTTTTTGTGAATTTTAGGTGAATTATCAAATGGTGTGTGTGAGGTAGTTCTGTCCAGTGGTGGGTGAGTGAGTGAGTGATATCTTTGCATTTATTTGCTGCTGAACATGGTAAATGACACAAATCTCAAAGTGTAAGGATTTCAAACTCTTAAAAGTATTACTCACGAATAGATCGATCCCTACTTTTTACTTAAAAATTTGATCTTAAAACCTTGACCTATGCATGAATTAAACTGCTATACTTGGGCAGGGGTAAACATAATGCAGGAATTTACAATCCGCAGCCACTGAATGGTACAGTTGCAGCTCTTGATGTCTCATGTAAAGAATCAAACTTCACTGGCTTGTGGCACTGAATAGCTTCCATTGGTTTTACTCCTTAATAAAATGTACATTGCAGAGCTTATTTTTTTAGTCATTGATATTTCGTGACTAAAAAAAAAAGTTATTCATCCCTGCCCTAATGTGTGTGTAAAGTTTGTATCTTGAGGTTTTCTTAGCTAACAATGATGGAGTAAGTCTGTCGATATGAGAGTACAGTGCAATGGCTTTACTAAACGACCTAATGTTAAGATATTATTTTCTTGAATTTTGAAAAGTAACTACTATCATGTTTAGTACACTTAGACATTTCAAGAACAGTGATCCTTGGATAGATTAATATAGTATTATTGTACATGAAATTTCATTTGATTTTAAACATTTTGGTCCCAAATAAATTTTTGTGTTTTTATGAGGATGAAATTTTGCATTTTAACCCTAAATTTGTTTAATATGCTATGTACGTACTTACATTAAAATACATGACAAATAGTGTACAACCAGTAATTTTAAAAGACACATTTATGCAGTTCCTACATTCCAAACACTTTATCATTGGGTTCAAGTACACTGCTGTAGTGTAGGTGGGAAGGCTTACAAATGAATGTAATCCTGTTGGTTCAGTGTAAAAGAAACAAGTGTAGCACAAGCAGTTACCTGGTGTTTATCACTGAGGTAGGTGCTTGGAACGTTGTGCAGTTTCCTGTGTGAAGGAGTGTCTGACTGTGTGTGTATCATGAGATCTTAGGCAAGACTCAATGAATTGATCTACGCTTTGCCTAAGATCTGTGAAATTGTGTAACTTAAGATCTGTGAAATTTTTTAACATACTAAATTTCTTTATTTTTTAAGTAATGTTTCATTAATCATAACTTACCTAAATTATCAAACTTTTTCATTTTTAGACATAATTTGAATTAATAAAATAGTGTTCAAATACTGTATTACTAAAAAACAGAGATTTATTGGGATTGATTTTAAGTGTGATTTGTTATAAATTTGCTTGTTGGTGATATACAGTATGTATTATGATGCATACAGTATGTGCATATGTTACTGTATCTTTGAAATGTGTGCTCAGTTCTGTTTTAAAGTGTTGTGGCTTTAATCATTAGTGTCTGGCAGTTGGTGACATTGGTGCTGCTCGTTAGCATTTATTAATGTGCGCTCATTTTCTCTCATGCTATTGAACGAGTTACCAGGTAAGCTGCGTTCAAGAACGTGTTGCGAGTACTGAGGGATTGTTTTCAAATTGTGAGATTCTTTTCACATTTTGGTTTATTTGTACATTATTGGTATAACCAATAAGGAACATACTGCATGTAAAGCATCAGTAATGCTTGCATTACAGTGATGGTGTATTTTGTCAGTATATGTGTGTGTGTTGCAGGTTGTTGTGGGTGCTGTTCAGCATTCCGGCCACGCTACAAGAGGCTGGTGGACAACATCTTTCCTGCCATTCCTGAGGTAGGACTCTTATGTTTCAATGGATTTTTATTACTTTAGCATGGATTAAAGTTTTGTGGAGCCTTGTCCCTCTTAATATTTAGGGGCCCCTGATCTACAAAACCACAAAAACTCATAAATAAAATGACAAATTCTATTTTACAATTAATATTAGGGGCTCTTGCACGTCCTACAAAACCATGAAAACTTGTAAATAAAATGAAAAATTTCATTTTACTATCAGAAATGGGATCTTGATGTGGTAGGAAAAAGTAATATAGCATAGCATAGTATAATACAGTAGGTTAACTATTAGAATACATAAAATGAATTTTGTATAAATAATCCTAACTCTTTATCATCCATATCGTATAAATTTTATAAACAACCGGTTTTTTATTTTGGTGGCCAATAGGCCCACTGCATGACCAGGTCCCTAGGCTCGCACCTAAGTGGTCTAATGTGTGTTTTAATCAAGTCCAAGATTGGACTGATTACATTGACTCAAGGCTGAGGGGCTGATTACCTCAAACTCCTGCTCTTCACCACTCTCCTGTGTATGGACTAATGAAGCCACTGTGTGGCAAAACATTTCCATAATAAAGATACCCAAGTGTTGTACAGGTTATCCAGTCTCCTTGCTGTCACTGTGATGTCTGGCTTCACTATAGTCTTATTATTTGTCTTCCTCATCATATTCCTATTTTATTTGTCTTCCTCATCATATTCTTATTTTATTTGTCTTCCTCATCATATTCCTATTTTATTTGCCTTCCTCATCATATTCCTATTATCTTTGCCAGTGTTTTTGTTTACTTTCTTCCATGTCTTCTACCAAAGTTTTCTTCTTACTGCTTTCTTTATGTTCTTATTTTCTTGACTTTAATAATATATTATATTATTTGGGAAGTACAATGCCTGCACTTTGAAGGAGAGGTTTGGGATATTGGCAGTTTGGTGTGACTTCTAAACTGTCGTATCTGAGCGCCTCTGCAAAACAGTGATTATGTATGAATGATGGTGAGAGTGTCGAATCTTGGTGAAAGTGTTTCATTCTTTTTTGGGTCGCCCTGCCTTGGTGGAAAACGGCCAACATGTTGAAAAAAGATTGTTATAGTCCAGTAACATCAGATACTGTTCTCTCATTGATATTTTGTTGGACATTTCTTGTATTTTGTGCTTTTTTAAATAGCCTTGCCAAATTATGTAAATGCCATTTGGAGATGCCAGCCATTTTTTATATTCCTTGCCAACTAAGGCCTAATATTTAATTTCTTTTATGCAGGATGGGTTAGTCAAGTCAAACATGGACAAGCTTATGTGGTATGCGATGAACTCGCCGGACAAATTAGATCGCATAGGCGACTACCTAGCACATCGTTTGTATCGGGATATTAACAGAAGAAAGATGGGTAAGAGGGATGGATTAACTGTGGTCCTTCAGAAGGAAGGTATGCTAGGGAGAACTTTTGCCAGATCTCTTGCAGAGCCTCACTTACAAGTTACAGCGTATGTTCCTTGCTCGTGTGTTCTGCCACATGGCCCTAAAATGTCCAAAATGCCCCAGCATGATAGTGACTTTCTTTGTACTTAGCAAACCAAAATTGTAATTACACATTGTAACCTTTACAAAGAAATAAAATCTTTATTCTTTAACTGTAATAGGATGGAAGGTATTGTGTTCTTGATGAGTAAATTTGGGGCATCTAAATGTGTGCACTCATTAGAAAAGATGTTAATACATAGTTGAATTTTTTTTTTAACTTTCTACTTGGACCAATGAGTCCAGTACAGTACCAGTAATCCAGTGGTCACTGTTGCTGTGGCCCACCAGTACCAGTAATCCAGTGGTCGCTGTTGCTGTGGCCCACCAGTACCAGTAATCCAGTGGTCACTGTTGCTGTGGCCCACCAGTACCAGTAATCCAGTGGTCGCTGTTGCTGTGGCCCACCAGTACCAGTAATCCAGTGGTCACTGTTACTGTGGCCCACTAAAGAACAAACTTCCTCAGATTCTCATCTGTCAGAAAACATTTATCCCTAAGATTGTATGGCAGCAGTTGCTTTTTGCATCACTGCTATAGATAAGGTAACCTCTGGATGGTTATCTCACAACAAAGACCCTTGTCATATGATTTTTTCCTGACACACAAACATTCTTACACTTTATCATTAATACATACTACACAGAAGAGCTGACTTTTCTTTTATATAATATGATCTGTCCTGTACCTTTGGTGGATTATTGAAAATAATGTCATACTGATGTGTCAAAGAATGGACAGCTAGTTTTCTAGGTGTTGGTTTCATTTTCTATGCCTGTATTGCATTTTTGCACAGATTTTGTGTTGCAGTTTAGTTCAGTCAGAATTGTATCTATTTACAGTGAACAGGGAGATAATTTTCTCCACGGGGAAGTGGAATAGAATTCTTCCTCCGTAAGCCATGAGTGTCGTAAGAGGCGACTAAAATGCCAGAAGCAAGGGGCTAGTAACCCCTTCTCCTGTATACGTTACAGCCTCTCCTCACTTAACAATGGAGTTCTGTTCCTGAAACCTCGTTGGTAAATGAATTCGTCGCTGAGTGAGGAGCATACTTTAATGGTAATGGGCTTGTGTCAACCATCTTTGATATTGTTTTAATGTCACCTTTATACCATTTATAACATTTTTAGTATACATATTTTTAAATGTTTATGCAGTAGTGTACATGTATATAACAGAATAGAGGAAAAGAGCTTTAATATATAGTACATTATTTAAGTATGCACACTGGTTAGAGAGCCCGTTGTAAGTCTGAGTCGTCAGTAAACGAGTACATCGCGAGGAGAGGCTGTACTAAAGTTAAAAAGAGAAATTTTTGTTTTTCTTTTTGGGCCACCCTACCTCAGTGGGATACGGCTGGTGCATTGGAAGAAAGGGAGGTAATTTAACATTGTGTCTTCTCATTGAGATATCTGCACTACGTATGGATGGTTCAAGCTGAGTACAAGAACCCAGCCAGCTTAGTTTCACAATGATGCTGGTTGCTGACACATTTCTTAGTACTCCATGAATACACTTCTATTTTGTCAACTTGTGCAGGTCTGTATAGTATCTGCAATTACCCAGCATGCCTCAGATGACCAGTGAGAGAATCCAGTTTGGTTTGAAATGTCATCTAGTGTCCATTTGCAATTTGTGGATTGTTGAACTATGATGAGCGAAAAGTGTTTCCATACACCTGCTCCTGACAGTGGCAATCATTCAATGAAATCATCTTAAATTTATTGTTCTGCTAGCATATGTATTTGCACAAAATATGTTTTGTTTCATAGATTTGCATATACAGATATTTTTAATTACTGGATTTTTTGTGTGTGTATTAGACTTATCATTCCAGTTTTTTTCAAGTACACTAGTGAAGTAACTTGCTGTATATTAATGAACTTGATAGACATGCATATGCTGAAGCTCCATGTATAAAATATTTAGGCATACATCTGGAAATGACATCTTGCCAAAAAATGATGTCTTACAGTACATGGTTAAGTCATTATGAAATAGTTATAGCCTGTGCTATAAAAAAAAGTAGCATTTTTCAAATTTTTTATCATTCTTGAGCATTAACCCTTAAACGGTCCAAACGTATATATACATTCACGTGCTAGTGCCCCAAACGTATATATACGTTTTCTGTCATTCATTCAACATTGCCACGATAAGCCTGAGTCACCTAGACATGAGAGAATGGGTGTGCGCACTCACTGTGTGCCATATTAAAATAATTGGGGATGCCTGGGTACCATATGCTCTTTTTTCCTTTTAAAAAAAGACAATTTTTTTTCTCTCAAAAAATTTGGGGCGCTACACTAGTGAATGTATATATACGTTTGGACCATTTAAGGGTTAAGCATAGTTGTCACAAAATTTCACTAAATTTGTATCAAGTTTTTGTTGCATGATTCCAATAAAATTTTTGATACAAAATACAATAATAAATTATTTATTTCAACAGTTTTTATTTGGGGGAAATTAGGGTGATACATTGGAACCCCAAATATCGGCCGTAATCCATTCCAGAAGGTCAGCCTAAATTTTAAAAGGCTTAAATTCGAAGCAGTATTTCCCATAAGAATTAATGTACATAAATACAGAGGGCTGAGGAAGGGTTGTTGAGGTGGTTTGGACATGTGGAGAGAATGGAGCGAAACAGAATAACTTCAAGAGTGTATCAGTCTGTAGTGGAAGGAAGGCGGGGTAGGGGTCGGCCTAGGAAAGGTTGGAGGGAGGGGGTAAAGGAGGTTTTGTGTGCGAGGGGCTTGGACTTCCAGCAGGTATGCGTGAGCGTGTTTGATAGGAGTGAATGGAGACAAATGGTTTTTAATACTTGACGTGCTGTTGGAGTGTGAGCAAAGTAACATTTATGAAGGGGTTCAGGGAAACCGGCAGTCCGGACTTGAGTCCTGGAGATGGGAAGTACAGTGCCTGCACTCTGAAGGAGGGGTGTTAATGTTGCAGTTTAAAAACTGTAGTGTAAAGCACCCTTCTGGCAAGACAGTGATGGAGTGAATGATGGTGAAAGTTTTTCTTTATCGGGCCACCCTGCCTTGGTGGGAATTGGCCAGTGTGATAATAAAAAAAAAAATAATAAAAATACAGTTAATTCATTCCAGACACCCAAAAATATTAACAAAAAATAAATTTTTTTAAAGATTATATCTTACACAAAACAGTGAGAACTAAATAAAATAAATAAATGAACATTTAAATCGCTATTACATACACCTTTGTTGAAGAGACTTGTTGGCTTATGGAAGACAGGGAGGAGGAGAGAGGAGGACTGATTATTGCTTGGAAGGGGAATCCTCCTCCTTAAGGACTTCAGGTATCAAAGCCCTCTCTGGGGTTACTCCCCTCCCTGCCTGCTACACTCCCTGCATGTCTGCTACACTCCCTGCATGTCTGCTACACTCCCTGCATGCTTGCTACACTCCCTGCATGCATGCTACACTCCCTGCATGCCTGCTACACTCCCTGCCTACCTGCTGCACTCCCTGCCTCCCTTCCACACCTCCTGTTTCTCTGCTACACTCCCTGCCTCCCTGCTACACTCCTTCTCTTCATGCTACACTCCCTGCCTCCCTTCCACACACACTGCCTCCCTCCCTCCATGCTACACTCCCTCCCTGCCTGCTACACTCCCTGCCTGCCTGCTACACTCCCTGCATGCCTGCTACACTCCCTGCATGCCTGCTACACTCCTTGCCTCCCTGCTACACTCCCTGCCTGCCTGCTACACTCTCTGCCTCCCTTCCATGCACACACACCCACACACACACACTGCCTCCCTGATACACTCCCTCCCTCCATGCTACACTCCCTGCCTCCCTGCTACACTCCCTGCATGCCTGCTACACTCCCTGCATGCCTGCTACACTCCCTGCCTCCCTGATACACTCCCTCCCTCCATGCTACACTCCCTGCCTCCCTGCTACACTCCCTGCATGCCTGCTACACTCCCTGCATGCCTGCTACACTCCCTGCCTCCCTGCTACATTCCTTGCCTGCCTGCTACACTCCCTGCATGCATGCTACACTCCCTGCCTGCCTGCTACACTCCCTGCCTGCCTGCTACACTTCCTGCATGCCTGCTACACTCCCTGCCTCCCTGCTACATTCCCTGCCTGCCTGCTACACTCCCTGCATGCCTGCTACACTCCCTGCATGCCTGCTACACTCCCTGCATGCCTGCTACACTCCCTGCCTCCCTGCTACACTCCCTGCATGCCTGCTACACTCCCTGCGTGCCTGCTACACTCCCTGCCTGCCTGCTACACTCCCTGCCTGCTACACTCCCTGCATGCCTGCTACACTCCCTGCCTCCCTGCTACATTCCCTGCCTGCCTGCTACACTCCCTGCATGCCTGCTACACTCCCTGCATGCCTGCTACACTCCCTGCCTCCCTGCTACACTCCCTGCCTCCCTGCTACATTCCCTGCCTGCCTGCTACACTCCCTGCATGCCTGCTACACTCCCTGCATGCCTGCTACACTCCCTGCCTCCCTGCTACACTCCCTGCCTGCCTGCTACACTCCCTGCCTGCCTGCTACACTCCCTGCATGCCTGCTACACTCCCTGCATGCCTGCTACACTCCCTGCCTCCCTGCTACACTCCCTGCCTCCCTGCTACACTCCCTGCCTGCTACACTCCCTGCATGCCTGCTACACTCCCTGCATGCCTGCTACACTCCCTGCATGCCTGCTACACTCCCTGCCTCCCTGCTACACTCCCTGCCTCCCTGCTACACTCCCTGTCTCTCTCCACATCTTCTATTGTTTGTGATCTCTTTTGTTAACATGTTTACCCCTTTTGCAACATCAGCTTCCTTGATTTGCCAGGATAGAAGTGATTGTTGCTTTGGATTTCCCATACATCCTGGCAAGTTCTAGCACTCGAACACCATTCTCATAGTTTTCAATAACTTCTTAAATTCCATCGTGTTTCTCACTTTCTTTACCAAAGGAACTTTACTAGGAACTTTCTTTGGGCCCATGGTGGCTTATTTCACAGTCACACTTAATAAACAAGCACAAAAACCGATGGATATTAAGGAAATGTTTGGATGAATGCATGGAGTATATGCTCATTCACCAAGAGACACAGGGAAACTGACTCACCTACACTGCGGCGTCCCGGTGAGAGGCGGGCTGATGTGTACGATACGGCTGATTTATGAGACACCGGCCGAAATATGGAGCAAAATTTCAGCCCGAAAGCTGGCCTAAATACGATTCGGCTGATAAACGCAGCAGCCCATATTTGGGGTTCTGTTCTTTACAGTATGTCCTTAAGTAGAATACAATGGAACCTTGGTTTTCGTATGCCTTAGTTTATATGTAAAACTATAGTTATTCTCTATAAAATGTATTTTTTGTTAATATTTTTGGGTGTCTGGAACGGATTAATTGGATTTACATTATTTCTTATGGGAAATATTAACAAAAAATACATTTTATAGAGAATAACTATAGTTTTACATGTAAAGTAGGGCATACGAAAACCAAGGTTCCACTGTACAAATGGGAGGTAACCATAGCGTAATATAAATATACATATAATGCAAGTACTGTGATAATTTCAGGCTATGTGATCATTTCTATGGATGCTCTTGACCAGCTACTGGTGTCATGTCATGCCAATACTCTTAACCTCTTTGTGGAGTCATTTTTACAAATGGTCCAGAAGCTACTAGAGTCTGTCGAACCAACGCTGCAACTCCGTGCTACTCAGTCAGTAAGTTCTGGTTAGAGCTGACAGGTGTTAATCACAGTGTTTGGGTCCTGGGACTTAGGCAAGTTCTAATTTCATTTGCAAAAGATGATCTGTGCATCATCACTGGTTAGTTACAGGGCCATCTTTAATGGGCGGAGGATTGAGTCTTCACCATTACCTGTACTGAATGGCCCACATGGGTTTAGAACTTCTTGAAATTCAGTACAATACAATACAATTTAGAGATTGATACAGATCTACGATTTATGTCTTTTTCTATAGTGTGCATTGGTGAATAAAGATCAGTTGGGGCCCTGAAGCAATGCATATACATTATATTTCTTCAAAGGAGGTGATTTAATTCTGGTGAAAGGCTCTCCATCCAAAGAATTGGAATTACCCTCCCTTTCCATGGATCAGATCTGATTACCTCACATTCAAGATTCTCTATAACCCCTACAGGTTTAATGCTCCCCCCTCTTGAAATAAATGTACAGTAATCTGTAGGCAATTTATACCATTGTATTTGTGCTTTCTAATATTGTAATGCTTATTGTTATTCAAGGATAGCATAATAAAATCCATTTACATTAATTTGAAAATAAGAATGAAACATCTGTTCTGTTTCATTGAAACTTTTTTCATACCAGTTCTTGCTTGTGGTCCTCTTACACTTGAGGGATCTGAGGAAGCTGCCACTTTACCATTACTGCATATTACTCTACCACTGATGCTGTACTAAGGATGAAGATTGGAGATGTTGTGTTTCACTATTTTTTAAGTAAAGGGAAGATTTTTATTTTGAGTGGGGGATTTATATGGCGCATAGCAATATAAATTTTATACTTTTTACAGTTTGAGAAATTTGCAAATATTCGAGAGGATACACCCTCTTACCATCGTCGATATGATTTTCTTGTCAGTAAGTTCTCCTCTATGTGCTACTCAAACGAAGATGATGAAGTTACTAGAAAACAGTTACGAACTGCTGGAATTAAGGGTCTTCAGGTTAGTCACTGCCAGTGTTGTTAACATATACCTTAATGATCTCCTTTTATTTATTGCTCAAGGATATTTGTCGAGATGTTATTTATCTTTCTGGCCATCTCCCATCAAGGTGGGATGACTCATAAAAGAAACACTTTTTACCATCATTCACTCTTAGCACTGCCTTGTCAGAGGCATGTAGATTTTTTATATTTTTTTTTTTTCAACAAGCCGGCTGTCTCCCACCGAGGCAGGGTGACCCAAAAAAGAAAGAAAATCCCCAAAAAGAAAATACTTTCATCATTATTCAACACTTTCACCACACTCACACATTATCACTGTTTTTGCAGAGGTGCTCAGGATACAACAGTTTAGAAGCATACACATATAAAGATACACAACATATCCCTCCAAACTGCCAATATCCCAAACCCCTCCTTTAAAGTGCAGGCATTGTACTTCCCATTTCCAGGACTCAAGTCGTGTCGGCGGATGGATTTATGAAGGATGAGGTTAATCATAGAATTGATGAGGGAAAAAAGGTGAGTGGTGCGTTGAGGTATATGTGGAGTCAAAAAACGTTATCTATGGAGGCAAAGAAGGGAATGTATGAAAGTATAGTAGTACCAACACTCTTATATGGATGTGAAGCTTGGGTGGTAAATGCAGCAGTGAGGAGACGGTTGGAGGCAGTGGAGATGTCCTGTCTAAAGGCAATGCGTGGTGTAAATATTATGCAGAAAATTCGGAGTGTGGAAATTAGGAGAAGGTGTGGAGTTAATAAAAGCATTAGTCAGAGGGCAGAAGAGGGGTTGTTGAGGTGGTTTGGTCATTTAGAGAGAATGGATCAAAGTAGAATGACATGGAAAGCATATAAATCTATAGGGGAAGGAAGGAGGGGTAGGGGTCGTCCTCGAAAGGGTTGGAAAGAGGGGGTAAAGGAGGTTTTGTGGGCGAGGGGCTTGGACTTCCAGCAAGCGTGCATGAGCATGTTAGATAGGAGTGAATGGAGACGAATGATACTTGGGACCTGACGATCTGTTGGAGTGTGAGCAGGGTAATATTTAGTGAAGGGATTCAGGGAAACCAGTTATTTTCATATAGTCGGACTTGAGCCCTGGAAATGGGAAGTACAATGCCTGCACTTTAAAGGAGGGGTTTTGGGATATTGGCAGTTTGGAGGGATATGTTGTGTATCTTTATACATATATGCTTCTAAACTGTTGTATTCTGAGCACCTCTGCAAAAACAGTGATAATGTGTGAGTGTGGTGAAAGTGTTGAATGATGATGAAAGTATTTTCTTTTTGGGGATTTTCTTTCTTTTTTGGGTCACCCTGCCTCGGTGGGAGACGGCCGACTTGTTGAAAAAAAAAAAAAAAAAAGTCCGACTATATGAAAATAACCGGTTTCCCTGAATCCCTTCACTAAATATTACCCTGCTCACACTCCAAGTACCATTTGTCTCCATTCACTCCTATCTAACACGCTCACGCACTCTTGCTGGAAGTCCAAGCCCCTTGCCCACAAAACCTCCTTTACCCCCTCTCTCCAACCCTTTCGAGGATGACCCCTACCCTGCCTTCCTTCCCCTATAGATTTATATGCTTTCCATGTCATTCTACTTTGATCCATTCTCTCTAAATGACCAAACCACCTCAACAACCCCTCTTCAGCCCTCTGACTAATACTTTTAATAACTCCACACCTTTTCCTAATTTCCACACTCCGAAGTTTCTGCATAATATTTACACCACACATTGCCCTTAAACAGGACATCTCCACTGCCTCCAACCATCTCCTCACTGCTGCATTTACCACCCAAGCTTCACACCCATATAAGAGTGTTGGTACTACTATACTTTCATACATTCCCTTCTTTGCCTCCATAGATAACGTTTTTTGACTCCACATATACCTCAACGCACCACTCACCTTTTTTCCCTCATCAATTCTATGATTAACCTCATCCTTCATAAATCCATCCGCCGACACGTCAACTCCCAAGTATCTGAAAACATTCACTTCTTCCATACTCCTCCTCCCCAATTTGATATCCAATTTTTCTTTATCTAAATCATTTGATACCCCCATCACCTTACTCTTTTCTATGTTCACTTTCAACTTTCTACCTTTACACACATTCCCAAACTCATCCACTAACCTTTGCAATTTTTCTTTAGAATCTCCCATAAGCACAGTATCATCAGCAAAAAGTAACTGTGTCAATTCCCATTTTGAATTTGATTCCCCAAAATTTAATCCCACCCCTCTCCCGAACACCCTAGCATTTACTTCCTTTACAACCCCATCTATAAATATATTAAACAACCATGGTGACATTACACATCCCTGTCTAAGACCCACTTTTACCGGGAAGTAGTCTCCCTCTCTTCTACACACCCTAACCTGAGCCTCACTATCCTCATAAAAACTCTTTACAGCATTTAATAACTTACCACCTATTCCATATACTTGCAACATCTGCCACATTACTCCTCTATCCACTCTATCATATGCCTTTTCTAAATCCATAAATGCAATAAAAACTTCCCTACCTTTATCTAAATACTGTTCACATATATGCTTCAATGTAAACACTTGATCTACACATCCCCTACCCACTCTGAAACCTCCTTGCTCATCCGCAATCCTACATTCTGTCTTACCTCTAATTCTTTCAATTATAACCCTACCGTACACTTTTCCTGGTATACTCAGTAAGCTTATTCCTCTATAATTTTTACAGTCTCTTTTGTCCCCTTTCCCTTTATATAAAGGGACTATACATGATCTCCGCCAATCCCTAGGTACCTTCACCTCTTTCATACATTTATTAAACAAAAGTACCAACCACTCCAACACTATATCCTCCCTGCTTTTAACATTTCTGTCATGATCCCATCAGTTTCAGCTGCTTTACCCCCTTTCATTCTACGTAATGCCTCACGTACCTCCCCCACACTTACATTCTGCTCTTCTTCACTCCTAAAAGATGGTATACCTCCCTGACCAGTGCATGAAATTACTGCCTCTCTTTCTTCCTTAACATTTGAAAGTTCCTCAAAATATTCTCGCCATCTACCTAATACCTCCATCTCCCCATCTACTAACTCCCCTACTCTGTTTTTAACTGACAAATCCATACTTTCCCTAGGCTTTCTTAACTTGTTTAACTCACTCCAAAATTTTTTCTTATTTTCATTAAAATTTCTTGACAGTGCCTCTCCCACTCTATCATCTGCTCTCCTTTTGCACTCTCTTTACCTTTCTTTTACTCTCCATATACTCTGCTCTTCTTATAACACTTCTGCTTTGTAAAAACCTCTCATAAGCTACCTTTTTCTCTTTTATCACACCCTTTACTTCATCATTCTACCAATCACTCCTCTTTCCTCCTGCCCCCACCCTCCTATAACCACAAACTTCTGCCCCACATTCTAATACTGCATTTTTTAATGTTTTTATAATGTTTTATAATGGTAAGAGTATTCTAATATCCTTTGCATGAAATAGCATTACTTAATAACTAACCATTATTGATTCAAAACTGTCATGATTTTGGTCCAGAATGGATCAGACCATCTTTCGAAGATTTACCTACAACTTGTATGCTTGTTACGAATTGTGACTTATTCTTTATTAGCATTGCTGTTGGAATGGGAAGGTATGCTAATTCATGATAGTAGTGGTGAGGAGGAGGCTGTATCCAGTGGGTAAGTCATATTTGAAAACTATGCATGGTATGAATATTATACAAAGAATTTCAGAGCATAAAAATTAGAAGATTATGTGAAGTTATGAAAGTTATTACTCAAGAGGGCTGTGGAGGTGGTTTGGGCATTGAGAACGGATTGATCAAATTATTATTCTTTTAGCAAACTGGCCATATCCCACCAAGAATAGATCAAATTAGGATCACTAAATGGGTGTATAAACATGGCATAGTATGCAGGGCTGGGAAAAGAGGAGGTGAAGTAGGTTTTAAGTGGTAATGTGTGAGTGTTTTAGATCAGGGTGAATGAAGACAAGCAGTTTTATGGATGTGCTGTTAAAGCATGAGCAAGGTCACGTTTATGAAGGATATATTGAACCTGGTTAGTAAACTTGAGTTCTGGATAAGGGAAATACAGTGCCTACACTTTTAAGGAGGGAACAGGATGTTACAATTCTGTGGGTCATTGGAATTGTTATGTTTGCACACATCTGGAAAGACAGCTATTGAATGAAAAATGGTGAGTGTTTCTTTTGTTTTAGATCATCGTACCTTGGAAGATGGCTGATGTAAAAAACAAAAATGTAATACAATAACCAAATATGTAGGGAAGAAAGTTTGCACATAGACAAGGAAACAAGAATGTACAAGCACTCATGTTCTGACAATTTTAAAGTTTTAGTTGTACTCACCCTTGATTTAGTAAAAGAATTTGCATATCAGATATCAAGAGTTCAGATGATTCAATTGATACATTGTATGGCATATAGTTGTCTTCTCCTCACCAGGGTGTGGTGCGTAAGACAGACTGGGATAACCTCGGAGAAAATATCTGGCTTCCCACGCACATGGAAAAGATTGTTCCCTCACTCCTTTATAATATGCAGGGAAATAAATCATATATTGAGGTGTGTACCTGTGGGATTTATTTTTCATGATTATTTTGTGCATTGTAGAACACAGATGTGAAGTAACTGATTCTGTAAAGAATAAGTTTTATAAGCCTTTTCAATTTTTTTGCACAAAAAAGCCATATTTTTTATTATGGACATCAGCTTTACCATGGGAATGTTTCATATTAAAACTGAGAATATATCTGTACAGTGGACCCCCGGTTCGCGATATTAATTCGTTCCTGAGAGCTCATCGTAAAGCAAAATTATCGGAAAGCGAATCAATTTTCCCCATAAGAAATAATGGAAATCAAATTAATCCATGATAGACACCCAAAAGTATGAAAAAAAACTTTTACCACATGAAATATTAAGTTTAATGCAATAGAATAATTACAATAACAACAATAACAATAGAATAATATGTAACAAAAGAATAATTGACACTTACCTTGAATGAAGATCTGGTGATGATTGATGGGATGGGAGGAGGGGAGAGTATGGATGGTGTTAGCATTTAGAAGGGGAATCCCCCTCCATTAGGACTTGAGGTAGCAAGTCCTTTTCTGGGGTTACTTCCCTTCTTCTTTTAATGCCACTAGGACCAGGTTGAGAGTCACTGGACTTGTGTCGCACAACATATCTGTCCATAGAGGCCTGTACCTCTCGTTCCTTTATGACTTTCCTAAAGTGGTTCACAACAGTGTCATTGTACAAGTTGCCAACACGGCTTGCAGTAGCTGTCTGAGGGTGATTTTCATCAAAAAAGCTTTGCACTTTAAGCCACATTGCACACATTTCCTTAATCTTTGAAGTAGACAACTTCTTCAATTTCTCTATCCCCTCCTCCGGAGCAGTTTCCTCAGGTGTGGCCTCTTGCTGTTGAAGATGATCTAGCATCTCATCAGTGGTTAGCTCGTCATTGTCCTCCTCCATCAACTCTTCCACATCCTCCCCACTAACCTCCAACCCCAAGGACTTCCCCAATGCCACAATGGATTCCTCAACTGGCATAGTCTTCTCAGGGTTAGCCTCAAACCCTTCGAAATCCCTTTTGTCTACACATTCTGGCCACAGTTTTTTCCAGGCAGAGTTCAAGGTCCTCTTAGTCACTCCCTCCCAAGCCTTACCTATAAGTTTTACACAATTGAGGATATTAAAGTGATCCTTCCAAAACTCCTTTAGAGTCAGTAGAGTTTCTGTGGTCACTACAAAGCACCTTTCAAACATAGATTTTGTGTACAGTTTCTTGAAGTTGGAGATGACCTGCTGGTCCATGGGCTGCAGGAGAGGAGTGGTATTAGGAGGCAAAAACTTGACCTTAATGAAACTCATGTCCCCAGAAAGTCGCTCTGCCAAGTCTGTAGGATGACCAGGGGCATTGTCTAACACCAGGAGGCACTTAAGGTCTAATTTCTTTTCAATTAGGTAATTTTTCACATTGGGGCAAATGCATGGTGTAACCAGTCATAGAAAAAGTCCCTAGTGACCCATGCCTTACTGTTTGCCCTCCACAGCTCACACA